CACCGCCGCTGCGTCCGACCGTCCAGGGGTAGCCCTGGACACTGCAGTCCCCGTCGTGAGGTCTCTAACGCGCACGATGGCGTCCACCGTGGATCGATGCTTTGGATGAATGGGACTGCTTAACCGGAGTATACCAACACGGCGTCTCAAAAAACCCACATGAAACAACGCTTGCATTGTTTTTCGTCGTGTGAGTGTGGTAACCGGATGCCCAATTACCCCATCCCAAATCTCGAGCACAAAAGGCACATAGTCGACCAGTGAGCAGTGGACTACTACGGCCGGTGGATGATGATGTGGCAAACATCAAATACACTCCAGATTCGCTAATTCATTATGGCATTTCTAAATGAAAATCTATTTATATTTTCATCTACACAAGAATCCTAACATTCGAACTCTAGCATTTAAAAATCATATTAAACAAATCACCTTCGTACGAGTAGGGTGTTGTACATATGTAGGTATTTAAAGTATTTACATATCTCAAGACAGGGTATAGGGTCACGATACAATCTTAAACATAATATAAAATGTAGGTACTTAATGTAGAATACGCACAAGAAGGCCCTTATACATTGAAATAGCGCACTAAACATTTCGGAACACGGTATAAATGTAACCAATACCTTATGGTCCGCCCTTTTCTGAATCACTAATTCAAATGCGATCTTTCTTCATCTAATTTCATCATCAGCGGTGTGGAGGGCATTGTGGATAGTGGAATCTAAAGTGGTGCTGTTCTGATCGAACCAACGTATTAAGCTGCGGCCGTCTACCGATAGACGACCACTACTTAACAAATGCCTGATGCACCCCACATAGAAAAATATATTAAATTATTTGAACATAACATAACATCACGCCTTTTATCCTCGAAGGGGTAGGCAGAGGTGCACATTATGCCACTGTACAATGTAACATCCACTTTTCACTATTTATGTTATGAGTCCCATGTAATAGGGGGTGAGCCTATTGCCATATACCGGGCACAATTCCAGACTCCGTGAGATTTTTTTTAAAAACCCAGTATTACTTTGCCTGACCCGGGAATCAAACCCGAGACTCCTTGCCAGGCAGTCGCATTTGCGACCACTCTGCCAACGAGGCAGTGTTATTTATTTGAATTAAGATTATAACTCCATGGTTATAAATAATAATGTTAAGACACCAATATGTCTTTTAACATTATTATATTATGTAGGGTGCTTTATAATTTATCGTTATCAAAGTGACATGACCTCAGATATTAATTCTTGGAAATTCTCTGTATTTACGTAGTTTATACTGATAGTAAGATTGGGTACAATATATATAGGAGCGAGGTCTAAGCATAACATTTGTCTCGCAGACATCGGCTTGTGAGGTCGAGTATTGTTTTGTCTCAAAATGCTCATTGATGATACTTTGAACTGTCGATATCTACTTACATAAATATTTAAGAGAAACTCGATATAGTAGACACAATCATAAACAATTAAATGTACCACGTGTTTCTAAGATTACTGACAACTCTGAAATATTGTTCTGAAGCGGCGCATTCAGTGCATGTGAACGCACCATAACTAATAACGTTACGTTTAAAAATGCACATGATGCCAAAATGATGATAAAATGTTATCTGGTGGGGAAAGGTCTTGTTCGTCGTAAGTAGTAGCTAGTATAAATGGCTGTCTAACTATTCAAATAAAATACTTTTTTTAAATTTGCAAAGACATAGTTGTTTATAAGTATTGCTCCAATCATTTATTAATGATCCTTATTTTTTGCATTATTTATTGGAAATGAAGTAGGTTACTACTCACATTAATTAAGGATATCGTCAAATAAATTATTGCAAGTGTTGATTATTCGTATTATTTTTATTTATTTTTAATACAAAAATAAATAAAAATAATACATTGTACAGTGCCATAATGTGCACCTCTGCCTACCCCTTCGGGGATAAAAAAGGCGTGGTGTTATGTTATGTTGTATTAAAAAGTCGACATAATTCTTATAACAGAAAGGAAAATGTCAAATGAAACTGTTTTGCCTGATTAATTGATCGATGCCTGGATAAGGTAATTGTTTTGTGCTTGGGCAACAAGCATTGGTAAGCACCAATATCAGTACTGTTAATAGGTACCCTATCAATCATTAAAACTGATATAATTGCTAAGAGAGATTAGTATCTAAGACGTACCTAAGAGGAAGTCCTTTAGATTAGGTGAAGGGCACACTGTTCTACAGTAACTAAGGGTAATATCTGTGTAAATTTTTTGTTTTCAATCAATGTAATGACATCATCTACAACAGTCCGAACATCCCTCATGTGCTCAATAGTTTCTGATTCATATTACATTTTAAATAGTGACTAACGTTATGTTGCCAGTTACTCGTATGAACAATTGACTGATTGAAGAAACTGGCGCCCTTGTCGCCGACGGTAGGGGAATACGCTCTATGTGTCTGAAGTTTTAACACAAGAACTAGGAAGGGTATGGGTAAACAAGTAAAACAAGTGAGTTCGGTTATAATTTGTATCGTATTTATAACAATATAAAATAATGCGCTTAGTTATACGTTCTACGTTAATTAAATATACATACATATTATTTAATCCAACAAGAATTTTATTCAATTTTAAAATTAAACACAGGTGTTACAATAACATTTATTTTCTAATAAATTATAGCAGAGCAAGTCTCCGGTACTGAATGTATGGCGTTACTTTGCTTGCGTCGACTTACCTACTGTTAAATACATTGAAGAAATAACATGAAAATGTAAAGAAGTGTATCACAGCATCGTTTCTACTTTGGGAGAATCGTTGGGCAGCTTTTAGACTAGCGAAATTGAGTAGAAGCTAACAGCCCGAGTGAACATTAGCGAGTGTCGGGTGTCGGGTAGTATAACTACGATATATATGATACAATATACATATACACGCTAGAGAACAAAGTATAAGTAGATTACCATAGAAAGCTAAATACTAAGAGGCGGCTAACACCGACGTTCGTTGCATACCTTCCGAGTAACAGCCATACATTCATTAGCCGAGCTGCACAATATTATAATGTGCTGTGTGACTGCCACGAAGCCTGCAGCGCCATCCAGCAGCTCTGGGGCTTATGTTATGTTCTTATACCTAGAATACGCTATTTGGCATCTGTTGCTGTAACGAACAAACCTCGTGGCGCCACCACTACGCACATGTACTACTAAATAAAATATATTATGCCTACATTCTAGGAAATAGGCATACGTTACCCTAGAGCAACGATACTCTAACTGTGCAATCCCGGTCAATATTTTAAATATAGTCGTGGACCGCTACAGCCAACTCAGCATTACAGGGCATGTAAGCCGGAGTATCGCTGTGTTACAATCTACTGTTTATAAAAGTAAAATATATAGGTAAGAGCGGCACTGATAAATGCCTTATGTTTATAGTAACATGACCGAATATATTAAAACAATAAAGATAACTTAGTCTTAGCACCTACTTTCTGCTGAAAGTTTGGGCAAAACTAAGATATTGTTGCGTAGTGTTATACTCCCAGTATAACCAACGTGTTGACGTCTTGTTCACGAACTATGGTGGCAGGTAACTTGCGAGCCGAGGAAGATGTCGCTAGTGAACTTATCTAACGACTGTAATAGGACTGAAAAATGTTGCCACACCTAGCGTCACCCCACGGACTGGAAAGATGCCTGCCATCATATTCAAACCGGCCATGATAACCAAAATATTTAAAAATTACGATCATCCCAAGCTCAGGCTCAATTTTTATGTTTCACAAACAACTTGAACAGAGAGTTCATATCGTTGTATACAGGATGTTCCAATTTATGTATCAGGCTGATAAAAATTATATACGTACTTTTGATAGGTCTATTATCTCGTCATAATTAATTTTAAACCAAAACTCCAATTATCAAAGGAAGACAACTAGCCATACTGGCTCCAATTGAAATACAGCCATGTCTAGGTATGATGGTACACCTAGAGTTCAAATTACATCACTTATTTAACAGCTGCTATACTCATAAAAATATAATAGTTTTCGTGTCATATACACTATTCACGTGTATATTGTGTGGCAAACTTTTATCAATATAGCAGTTAGGCACCTGTCCAGTCGCGGAAAGAACATTAGTAGGCAGCACGGACAATAAAATACCAAAGTTATATTGTGAACAACATTTATTCGATTCTAAATAAATATACAAATACTTAACAATTTTTACAGGTATTAGACTATTTAAATAATTTTACTAAACTTAACATTCTTTCCGCGACTGTACATGAGTCTTACAAATAAATTAGATCTAATTTGCGCGTCACTGTACACAGTGCTGGGACTCCGCGTGTGGTCCACTCAAACTCCCAGTCACTACATATACATTTGTCCCGTGAAACAAATAGAGGGCAAATCCGTACAACAATTATCACTTCATATATTTTCCGGAAATGTCCCAGCATTGTGTACCGCGGGCCATATTTTCCCTCTGCAACATCTCTTCCCCTCGAAATATTTACAAATGAGAGTGAAGACTAAATCCTCGCCTACACAAACATACACCGACCAATACCAAACTTGATTCTCTTGACCAACATAGTCTCAACGTGACTTTATATAGGACCATATATTTCTATGTTCCCTTCGTTTTTGTCACATATATTTAGGGTTTGTAGTTACAGTGGAAGAACCTGTAGCAGTTAATTGCATGGTTACAATTAATGACAGATCTGCAGTAACCGTGGATAAACCTATTTCTTGCAACAAATACAAGTTGGGTGTTGATCAGAGTGCGCGGTCGTGTCGGCAGCAAGGAAGTAATATTCAGATCTATTTGTTAGAAACTTTGCTACGGTGTGGTCGGGCCGGGTCGGGGCATTGTAACTAAGCGCTGGTCTGTGGAGGAGTGGCAGGCGCGGCGTGCGGTCAGCTGGCGGTAGTGGCTGCCTGGCGCTAGCTGTCGCGTGCGAGTGGCCGGAGCGAGGCGCCGCGCTGTCAGTACCCCTTCACCGTGTTCCCGCATGTATCCCGCACTAGCTTCTCGTACAGGCTCTCGTTGTCGCTGTCGTACATCTGTGGAGATAACGAGACATTACTACAAACTCGCCACACAGGACATTGTACCTACACACGCTGATAGCGCGACAGACAGTTTATTTACTAGACACACACATACACATGCGCGTATAGAGGCCTGTATAATTCACGTTAAAAGCGCGTACTCGATAAAGTCGTAAGGTTACAGGGAAAAAATTAATAACTGGAATGCGGCGCACAACAAAATTTAAGGATATTTATTGTAGTTATTGCGATAACGATGGGAACTGAACTACGAACAGGTACCATTTGTGGCCCGTCATAGCGCATGGCGTTATTATTCCAGTGATCAACTAATCAATAAATATGATCACATTGTTTTGTCATTCAAATTCTTGCGACTGATTACAATAATTTTATTTTCAATAACAAACAAATGTATTATCCGAAGTACGAAAACGTGGGATTTTCCATCACAAGGTTGAGGTACTTGTTAGTGCGTGTGTGTGTAATCTACATACAATATGAAATATTGAGTAAATAATATAGATAAAATGTACGAGATTAGAAGAAGTACACCTGTATTTGTGGGCTTCCCCAATGTGACTATGTGGATAGTAACTGTTGCAAAGGTTATCTGATTACTTACATCATCGTCAGAGCTGGAGTCTGAGTCGCTGTCTTCGGCGACTTTGTTGAACTCGCTAGCGGCAGGAGTTTTCTTAGCGAGGCGGCGCGGCGTCCGCTGTGCGTAGTCACGCGCTAGAGTCACCTCGTCTCCGTACCGTTCCCGCAGGTACTTCACGATACGGACATCACCACGTCGCGCAGCAATGTGCAGCGCTGTCCATCCCGCTAAGTTTTCCTGAACACAAGAGAAAAAGACTATTAGTCATACTTTAAACAAAATAAAAAATAACAACTGTGCGATAAAGTTGCAATGTCTACTAATCGGCTTCGATATTTAGGCATGACTTAAGACCCAGTGGTATTCTCGACAGGTACATATCACAAGTCATGAACTTTCAACTATAAAGTTCAACATCAGTATGAGTTATTGAAGCGTTACTCTTAAACATTATCCACGGAAGCTGATTGTAGGTCACACGGAAGTGGCCGACCGGCCGACCAGAAAGACCCTAAATTGGGAAGTCGTTAGTTACAGACACAAACATCATGATGTTTGCTGAACAGAAATGGTGCACAAATACAAAAAACCCCGACGTAAGAGATACCGCACTATCAGCAGATTAACACGTATACTATAGCAATGGGTTTTCCACCGTAGCCGTCAAGGAGACATACTGTGACTACGGACTTTGCTCGAGTCATTTAGTTTTCACTGCAAACCGAAGTGTGCTTGCATTGCCAAATATTCACACAGAGAATATGAGAATTATTTGAATCAGACACCCGTGTTTGTCATCAATAAATATTGTTCCGGTTGAAAATATAAGAAAAATGATTCACATGTCTGTTTGGTCTAAGATGTATTCCACTATTTTATGATGAGTATTGTCGTCGACTCATTCGCGTATTCTCCCCTTATTATTTTTAACCTTTTCCCCGTCAAAATTAACAAGAAATAACCGCATTAATCAGAAATGGATTATCCAATGATGTTAGTTATTTGCGCTCTGGAATATTGTCAAGCCGAGTTCCCCACGAGGTGTTTGGACCGGCCCGAGACCGCGTTGACTCATTTTGTGGTTAGTGTTCTAGTTGTTCATAGCAACCGACACTTTTCCTTTTGTTTGAATTTAGCTTGGGTACTCGGACAAGCAAAAAAACCTAATAAACAATAAGTTTGTTTGGACAGAAAGTTTCTCTTTTTAGAAGAACTTACCTTTGCTTTGATATCGGCTCCGTAGAACACTAGGGTCTGTAGCGCGACGAGGTGGCCTGCTGATGTGGCTAGGTGTACGCACGCTTGTCCTGTAACAAACAAAAGGACCCTGTTAAATTGCACTATCAGCTCATGATTACAGAGTACAAGTACCTAATGTAAATAATAATAAGGCCAATTCGGTACGCACGAACTGATCTACGTATATGCTATTATTAGTATGTTTAGTGAATTAGATACACCGATAAATCTAGCGATAAACATTAATCTATATAATTGGGGAATTTATGCACGATAACTAAATAACGAAATGATTAAGCAAATATTGGTATTTTAAAACTATACGAAGTAACGAGTTAAAATAATGGATTTTTATTCAAAGACAAAGATTGTCAATTAAGTACATTAAAATTCGTTACCAATAAATAGAATGAACCTACTCAGTAAGGTATATATGACTTCATTGTAACTTTAATCACACGCAATATAAACTTGTTCCAATATATTACGCATACTTATAATAAGACAGTATTACGTAAGCAACTGGTAGTTTTAAATTAAATATTTTGAAAATTAACATGTTTTGTGACTACTAGGTATAGGTATAAGAAAGTGGAGGTTATATTCTGACTGGCACCTATCATAAAGTCAAATTAACTAGAATTGTATGATACGACTACCTACATAGTTTACAAAAACACTAAGTTTTTATTCATATACGTCATGATGTTTTTAGCACAGGCTCTGAATAAGCACTATGTGCGAAAACGGAGAACATTGTTTATAGGAATGGTCCATAATGATCGTACTGCGTACAGCTGGAACCGATCCAAATGTATTTAAAACAAATCTAAAATAGATCGCTCGCTAAAATGGCCGACGCTTTTTAAAGCTCGGGAATTTAGGTAGGCTTAATATAAATAAACTTTTCTATTTCGCAGACATTGTGGATGTATAAACTGATCTTATCTGGCATTTTGAGTTCGGCTCTCAGAAGAAATACGACCTATGTTAACCAAATCTTGATGCCCGGTTAACACTGGTTGTATAGTGAGATCACAGAAAGTATTCAAACGTAAAGTGCACCTACGTTGCCCAGTACGCACGTACATTACAATGTTCTGTCAAATTTGTAAAAAATCTTATTGGGTTTATGTTAATCATGTACCAACAGCTTAGATTAATAAGATATAGTAGATACCCAAGATCAAAGTGCATTATGTACTCAAGATTAGATTACTGATTAGTTGTGGTAATGAGCAATACTAGCGATGGCCGCGATGTGAGTTCACATAAATTTGGTAGATGCTGTCTGATAGTCAGATACTAACTTCTTATAAGGACAAACCACTTGATATTTGCATATTATTTCATAAACAAACAGTTTCGTTGTTTACTGCGGAAATTACTTACGATCGGAAAACTTTGCTTTGGAATGGTTGTAAGTCAAGTTGGATCGCATACACTTGACACATCGGGGATCCCAGAAACCTTGACATGCATGCTATTTCCTACATAGCCGGCGTACATAACCGTTTTGAAATTCTTATATCTAGTGTTATAACCGACGGGGACACCCAAAAATACAAATGATGTAATGTTAGAGATGTCGTAAATACTCACAGCGCCCCCGATAGTTCATATAATTTGTTATCCTACTTTTAACCAATGTGTGCGTGAGTCTCAATAGTGCAAGGCGAGTTTTAGTCTACTGACATTTTTAAAATAATTTTGAAATCAAAAATAACTGGCCGCAGAAAAAGCTGACGTATTACGACTAATTCAGTTGTTGACAAGTCATGCTCAAGCACCTACTACCTAACCTATTCATGAGAACTGAAAAAAAAAGTACGTAATCAAAACATTGAAGTTGCGCTACGCAGCGTTCACGCCAGCTGACGTGATTGCGAGACGGATCAACTGAGGACAAGTACTTCGGTAGTGGCATGTGTACGATGTCGTCACGCGGGCCGCGGGGCGCGGGGCGCGGAGGGGGCGGGCGCGCCGACCTGATGGGGTTTTCCCAACAATGTGGCGGCCGCGGCTCAGCGACTGGCGACGCACGCGCCTCAACTGTCCTCGCCAAATATGGCGCGCTACCACTCGATTTTCACTATTTCCGTATATCATACAGACACTAACCTCCCTAATTTCTATGACCATTAACTAGCGATGGTCGTTGATCTGTCAATGGAATTTTTATATTTATAAGTTATTATGTATTTTGTATTTCCCACTATGAACTTATTAAATAAAAACAATTTTCAAAACAAATTTTCAATAGGACGCAATAAAATTGCTAGTTATATAATATATCTACTGTAAGCTTTTGTGAAGGAACATTTTTTTCCTTATTTATGAAACGAATTATAAACGTAGTTAACGAACGGTAGGCAGTCCGCGCTAACCGCAGCGATACCCAGGGTAATGCCGATGCGTTGGCACACGAATTGTGCCATCTATTATAAATACAATTCCTACACCGACAAAGTACATGAAGGTTTTACTTATCAAGGATTCTGAAAGTATACTTCAGTCATATTATAAAATCCTCCCGCTTGAATCAGCCCCGGCGCCGCATTGATAGGCCCCGAACTATATTTAGCAGCTGCATCACCAGCAACGTTTGATTGCGAAGCGAACATTTTCAAAATATCCATGCGGAACCCTGGTGACGGCGGCGATGTTTCAACAGGTTTTCTTGTAAAAACCCATAGCCTTGTAAACAGAGCTCACGACTAAACTCTTAACAAAATTTTCTACATAAATATAAATTAATTGACGTGTCGCAGCTGTCGCTTGCCGGTTTGGGTAATTTTGTATAAATATGGGGAATAACGTCGCATATTATTCTAGCATTCTGATCAACGAGCTGAGTGGCTGAGGGCGCGAGGTGACAGACAATGGATGCAGACGCAGGCACGAGACGTCACTTATACTTTTAGAAATGTATACGCGTCATGTTTGTCGTGTAATGCCGTCGGATTAGTTAAGTTCTTCACCAGCTAGGCGACGCCAGTATGATTCGGTATATTTTCCTTATAGGAACTTCCAATTGGTAAAATTACGCCTTCGAGTGACACAGGATAGTATTTAATATTCTATTTTATACCGCTAATACTACAAATGACTGAAGAAAACCCATGTTTACAAGATCAGTTCTCAACAACTTTGGTGACGTAAACAGGCAGAGGTGTTGAAATTTTCATGATAATAAATTGCGTCGCAGGACATTGAAAAACCAGGTTGAGTGTCGGAAAACCCCAAGTTTTATATAAACAGTACAAGGGTTTAATACAGGTAGATAGCAACAGTTTACAAGTTTACAAGCGCTCGCCTATAGAGATAACGATTCTTCAAACATGCTCATAAAGCATGCTGATAAGTCTCATTATTTCGAAATGTGAATGAATTCTACCAGGTTGAATGTCATCAATTGACCTACTTAACAACAACAACGACCTAAAGAAATTCATTGGATGTATGATAACTACCGATATAATTACGATTTAAATGTTTGCCCTTACACTAACAAATGCGACTCTTGAGCTATAGTTCAGAAAATTACATTGACGCATATAAAATAATACCACGGTACTACGATTACGATTATTAATATCAATTATTTAAATCTGCTATTAACGTCTGTGGGAAATCCAAATAAAATAACAATTAGAGTTGTTGTCCTTGGATAGCAAAAACGCACCTTTGCCAGAACAATCTAAGAACAGATACAGCACTCCAAATTAGTTCTAAGTTAGGTATGAAACATGTTTAGCAAGACATTTAAGAAACCGGAATTTCCAAAATTCCCGAATTTTCGAGCGGTCACTGCACGCACTGGATGTGGTTAGCCTTACGTTTGGTACAATTTAAGAGAATAGTTTTACATGCCGCAGGTAAATGACAAGCAGATAAATTTTAGAATTGACTGAGTTATTTGAGATGGCGATATAATTAGAAAGTGCGCCACAGTCCCACGTAACATGTTCATAATACATGCCGCGCTTGGGATTTCCGTCCGTATGTAACCGTGGCGAGGCACACTTTCACGTGGGTATTGCCCGGGCCATCATCATCATACAGCCACCATTGTTCAGAGATACTGACATCAATGTGAACGACGCAACGCCAAACGGTTGCGGTTTTCCTGGGTTATGCTTTATATATACCTTGGACTATTGGCGCATTACATTAAGAAGTATTGCTTGTACTGGAATACCTATACAAATATTGCTTTCGTTCCAGTGTTTTGAGAAAGATATTATTACGTTTCGAGTTTAAAAGAAGTTGTCTGTGGGTTAAAAATAAATCGGTAATAAATATACAAATAGCGTACGTGTTGGCGCTACGACATTCATAAGATATTGAAATCGTTCCATCAGGAAAAACCATCTCGCCGTGTCGCCTACTTAGCATACTCGTAATAGCTTTTCAATTAACACTCGAACAATGGTCGGGGTAACCCAAGCCATATGTACGGGCCGCTCAACGCTGGTCTAGGGGCGTTACATGGTACCAAAAAGTTTGCTTTCACTCGGTGAGCGGCCGTCCGTATTCGTTCGTTACGCGACCGGCTCGTCGTAACGTTGGGAATACCCAACAACCAACTGCCGGCAGCCTCTGAACTCGATAATCTCACAATTCACTTCGGCGGCCAATCTTACTAGGCCAGCAATAAAATTTTTGACCCCACACGCTCGCAGTAACTATTTATGAATTACAAACTTCATTACAAGAAGTTTACCAAAATGTTTCCGCAAGGTCGACAATCGTGTCACATAAATACATATGCAAATACGTATAGAGCCAGAGCCAAAATTCTTTTATATCAGGTTGGTGTGTTGTTTGTTAGCTTGGGAAAACCAGACAATAAAGAGCGTAAAGTAATATCTTTTTAATGCAGTTTACAGAGGCAGGGAATTCCTAATTCCTCATTTATTCCGAATTAGAAATATTAGAAAATGTTTTATGCAACTGGGGCACTTTCCAGCATAGCCAGGGGCTTCGCACATACAGTTGTAATGGCATTGAGCGTAATCAAGACCTTGACGGACGTCACAAGTAGCCTCATAGGTACGGTGCGTTCACACGTAAACAATGTGCGGCTTCTTTGTTTAGCATAGAAAACAGGTTCTAGTTGATCCTAGCCACGACTTCAACAGATCCTAGAGAAGCTCCGTATTTTTTCTGTTGCACGAGATGTCGTGCCGGTCCGTGTCCGGAACAAGAAGTAGATACTACAAGGACAATGTCATTGCACTTGAAGGGTAAATACTTTATACATCGTATAAACAATGATTCTAACATAAGGTCCATTTACATAATTTGATTGATAGTGATAGCTTGTGCATTGTTATTTAAAAAATGAAACTGCCGTTTTAGTTGCATATGAGACTCGGTTCAATTGGTTGTCAATGGGTATGTTTAATGGGACTATTTATCAGTAACAAAAAGGTTGCAATTATACGTTTTTGTGAAAAAAAACAGTTAGTGCACTGCCTGTACCTGGAAAAACCGTTGAGTGGGTTTTTACTCTCAGAGGCCGTGATTCAGATGAACTGCTGCGAACCTCAATGTTGTGTAAGTAGGTAGACGCATGAGAACATAGAATCAAGTTTTTCAACGGGGTTATGCTTAATCATCATAAGTCAGCAATGTACATTTTTTATAACAATGTCGCGGTCTCCTGATTTTTATTGTGGTTTTATCAGTGCAATTCGTTTTCTATCGAAGGAGAAGAGAAGAGGAGAAAAGAGAGATTTTTTTTCTAACAATCATTAAACGTAATCTTTGAACTTACAAGGGGCAACTCTATAATAAAACGTTTGAGGTCATCACCACAATGGACGATGTCAGGTCGTGGCAGTCGTATACCGATGCATGTAGTGTTATCGGAAACATTATTAGCTTTGCGGTTATTTTCAATCAGGGAGTGCTGCGGAAGATGTAACCAAATATTCGAGCTACTTTAACAATTCTTCCTGACAACAAGACCTAAAAACCACACAGATGATGTCATTTCTTACTATACATAATATATATAACTACCTAGACCATCGTGAATGGAAAAAATGGTGCTCACATACACTACCAGGAACTAATTGATAATGGAAATCACTGTAATATTTTAAATTAATATTGCTGAAATCATTGTTCTATTTGGTTAATCGAATTTGTGGTTGTTACTTACCATTATAATTCTTTTGATTCAGTACTGTAGTTAGCTTCCTCGATGGAAATTCAGGCACAGGCGCAAGTAACGCTTGTAGGCATTCCACATTTCCTTTTGTTGACGCTTTATGTAGAGCTGTTTCTCCTAGCCTGTCTCTCGCTTCGATCGAGAGTCCCGCGTGCACTAGCATCCTGGTGACCACCGCATTTCCACTCATCACAGCGAGGTGCAGCGCTGTGTGGCCATCGTCGTTGGCCAAGTCCAAAAACATCTTGTTCGGACATATTCTTATGAGTGTTGCTACTGATTTTACGCACCCGTGCACTGCCGCTATGTGTAATTGTCTGTAACAAGGGATAAATGATTTTGTTAGAGAGCTTCGGTACTCGTGAATACGATTGATTTTTCTAAATATAGAAGGTGACAGGATGGCGACCTTTACGGTATTGGACCGGTCGACGGTGCGTGCGCGTAGTGTGGAGTGGGGCCCGCGTGAACTTAGCGGGTGCCATAACAAACCCATTCAGCACTCGTAGCATTCTAGAGGTCTCTACACGTAACGGACATTAGCTGTCGCAGCTGACGTTACTAGATCTTATTACGCGAGATAAACGGTATCTGACTCATGCTAATTCCCACTATCATTGATTGCAAGAAAGCAGTGATTGCTGACAAATTATTGTATTAATAAGTTTGGCGGTCTGCGCACCGCGTGTGTGTGCGTCGGAGCTGTGTTTATCAACATACTTGTACTTTGTAGTTAGGAACTATTTACGAATGCTAATGATGTAATAAGTAAAGGAAATGTAAACTTCCTAGTGGGGACAACCAGTGTTTATGATTTACAACTAAAATGATTCATATAAACATAAAGAAACTCACTACCAGTCACATCATTTATAATCATTTTAATTAAACAAAACGTTAACTGGTTGGTTTTTCTACATGTATAGAGTTCAATAAGTTTGTTTTATCAGTTTTAACTGAACAATATTGGGTCAAAAACATAAGAATACATAAAACGCTGTGTCATCAACACCCATCAGATTTAGTGTTTAGGCACTTGACATGTAACTAACGACATAAAAAAGTATTTTGCAGTTAGAGCCAAGTTGAACATTTGTTTACCAAGTATCACTTTAAGATTGTTGATGTCACCTCTACCTACCTAGTTACCTCTTGAAATACTGCATAGACATATCTAAAGAGCATCACTGTTCATAAACATTTTCCAAGTGTAAATGACATGTTGTAAAAACCTTAAGGGAAATCCAATGGTCTGCCAACAGATTAATAAATGTGTTGATAAGGTACTTTTTAAACAATGAAATTGCCTCATCAACATTGAGTGAGTGAATCAATATTAATTTTGGTTATTCCCAGATTTATCAGTGTTTAGCTGTATAATACAGTGCTGATAATGGGAAATTTTAAATTTGCTTGTGATCATGTACATTGCTTGTGTCTGATACAGTACCATATTATCTAATCAGGCATATAATCATGTAACTAATTAATAGTTTAATCCACAACTATGTACTGGTCACTATGTTGCAGTAAACATTCTGTTTAAGTATCAGTTCATAATATGTTTAGACAGGAACATTTTGCTACAAATAGATTGCAGCAGTTTGAGATACCTGTAATAAACTTTCAACTTTATTCCAATGTAATGAGGTTAAAAATCTATTGAAGAATTGTGTTTTGAGTTACTTGGGCTGCTGGTGTCTGGTGCTTAGCTAATAGACATTTTATCTAGCGAGTAGACTTTTTGTTGTTTAGACTTTCACTTTACATATAATCATTATCTTGTTGGATATTCATTGATAACAAGTATTGTATTGAATGGCATTGTTCTTCCTTGATATTAAGATATAAACCATTGACTGATTCTTCCGAGGTTGATATTATACAAACAATTTAGAACAGCTGGTACAAATGCTCATTGCACCCATAAAGTCGCTTCACACTATTTTATATCAACACTTTACAGATAAACTAAGTATAAATAGAAATAAATTACATACAAACTACCTAACTACCTTCAAACAGCTACCTACATACAAAACCTACCAAACTATTGAAACCTATAGGCGTTAACTTCTAAGCGAAGCTATAAACACTTGGTCAGTAAACGGTTAAAAGGTGCTATTTACCTACAAAGTACACATGTTGTTTGTTTAAACAATAGTAGACATGACGTTTCTACAAGTTAGTACATCACTGTTACACTTACGTATCTCCCTGTTCGTCCGGCGTGAAGAATAAGGTGATTGGTGGGATATTCTTCTGTTCAGGAGGTGATACGGCGATGTGTGGGGTCTGTGTGTCAGTGAGCTGCACGCTCGACACCAGCTCCGATATGCACACAATACCACTGTCGTACTCGCTATCGCTTGGCTGCACGGCACTCACACTTTTCACTTTCTTATCCTCACTAGCAGGCTCGGGCACGGGCTCCGACTCCTCATCACCAGGTAACACGTCTATAGGTCCAGATAGAAAACCAGAATCGACGTTCTCGTCCTCCGCAATCTTAGTATTGAAGTTGCTCTTATTTCCACTCATTTTGTTGATTTTTATTTATATCACACTGAAACACTAGTAACGATTGGAATGTACGTATGTTTTTTTTAACACTAACTATGAACACTCATTTTTCAAGAAAATATTCGCGTAGTAAACAACCATTCCACGATATTATCGCATGCGCAATGAATGATTAAATTCACAGTAATGAATGATGATGGCTCCCGTCTCCTCCACTAGTTTTCGTGCGTTCGGATAAACACACATGTGTCTCACTGACCGTTCTAAAGCGAACTGAACGCCATCTTTATCACGCTTTTCCTTAAATAGGTACCCACTGGCCAACTGCGTATTATTATTACGCGTTCGTTTATTGTTCATTAGATCAAATGGGTTAACCCGGTTCATGAGAACAAGATAAAGATTTAGTAATTCCAAATATTCACTGTAATATTGTAATATGAATTTTTTTAAACATCAATAAATCATCTTCTAGAAAAATCGTTAAGTTTTTTTTTAAATATCGTGTATAAATAATTTATGATAAATTATGTATTGTTATTGTTAATTAAATGACAAAAGATTTTCATAAATTTTGAATTGTTATTTACAGGCCACATTTGAATTAAAAGATTTTGCTGTTTGACTGACATATTTAGATTTAAACGTTTCAATATAATTAATGAACAAAAAGCGACACAGAAATTAACTTCATTAAGAATTACATTTAAGTGTATCCAAAATGATCTTGTTCTTTTTCTACTTTTGTAATTGTCAATGTCATGTTTGTTTACAAACGAAAATGTCAATGTCAAATCTGTCATTTGTCAGTGTGATTAAAGTTAACTTTATTTTGCCGCCTTAATTTACAACTTGATTTGTTTATTTATTTTAAATAATTTTAGTGATTAGTGTAAATTGTTCGTAATATCTATTGAAACCATGTTTGCTGAAAAAGTAATTGAATTATTGAAGGAAGCAGAAAGAAATCCTGTTACCATCGACCCATTCAATGTACGTTATTTTTTATGCAATATTAAGTTTTTGTTAAGAAATAATCATGCTTATACAGTACAGAGGTCCTATTATTTCACAAATTTTGCTTCAGGATGATAAGATACGACAAATATTGGAAGAGATGCAGACTTTGTTCAGGTTGAATATGAACGACGCGTAAGTAAACTTGTTAGAAAACCTAACCTTTCTTAGTGTCTTTAATTTTGATTGTATTGATCTTGTATTGATCTCATAGAGATGATTAAGAGGATGATATTGTATTTTACTTAAATTGATAAAGTTATCTTTTACAGTAATGCAACAATGGAAAATAAAACTCTGTGGACTACAGTTCAAGTGAGGCATTCAGCACTAGAACGGAACAAACGCTGTCTACTTGCTTATCTCTATAGTAGAATGGCCAAAATTAAGACATTAAGATGGGAATTTGGTGCTATATTACCTGCCGATGTACGTGAACTCCTATCAGATGACGAATATGAGTGGTTTACAAAATATTCTATGAACTTGGCTTCATATATGAGATCATTGGGCCAAGATATAGGGTATAATGGCATTGACCTGACAGAAAACCTGAAACCACCAAAGTCTTTATACATTGAAGTTCTATGTATGGCAGACTATGGGAAGCTGGAACTCGAAGATGGTGATGTGATCTTGTTAAAAAAGAATAGTAGACATTTCTTACCAACATCAGAATGTCAGACACTTATACGACAAGGAATATTAAAACAAATAAGTTAATAAATATTATTTTAGGTGTTATATAAGTGTAAATAATGAATAAATGGATGTTCAGAAAGTAGCAATGCTTTTATTTTACCTAATTGATAATAAAGTGCTCATCACAGAGACATCACAAATATTCGTAGTTAATATCTAAGCATCAATATAAAATCAGTGTGGTCACCGGCTTTAAATATTTTTTCAGGGTATTCCATTTGTTTCAGACTTTTATTATACATAACATGCCTTTTTACCCCCGAAGGGATAGGCAGAGGTGCACCCAGAAGTAACACCCACTTTTTACTATTTATGTTACGAGTCCCATGTAATAGGTAGTGAGCCTATTACCATATACCGGGCACAATTCCAGGCTCGCAGTGGTCGCAAGTGCAACTGCTGGGCAAGGGGTCTCGGGTTCGATTCCCGGGTCGGGCAAAGTATTACTGGGTTTAAAAATAATCTCAGTAGTAGTATGGAGTCTGGCATTGTGCCCAGTATATGGCAATAGGCTCACCCCCTATTACATGGGACTCATAACATAAATAGTGGAAAGTGGGTGTGACATTGTACAGTGGCATAATGTGCACCTCTGCCTACCCCTTCGGGGATAAAAGGCGTGATGTTATGTTATGTTATTGATTATTTTATTATAATTGAGTTCCAAAATATGCAACCATGGATAAACAATTATGTATAACTATATTTGTGAGTTAACATAAATAACAATAATGTCGGTTGCCCTAATAAAAATAAACAGTAGGTATGCTGTGCTTTGCAATGCATTATCCCAGTATACAAATTTTTCTATTTTTAGTTATAGGATAAAATATTTAAGAGGGTTCAGAGACATTTGGTCCTATTGCCCAACACTTGGTAATATTTATCTATTTTGTCTCCCACTCTAACATGCTAACGTCTCTTGGCGATGTAGGACTCGTTGCGTCCATTGTTAGCTTTATTATCGAACTATTTTCGTGAAATGTTGATTGAAAATTTGTTCAGACCAATTTAAAAAAATCCTTCATTACTACAAAGATTAGTTTCCAGTAAGTGATAGACTTATTTTTTTATATAATCTGATGTTCAATGATTACTTTCCTATGAGAAAGGAAATTTTATACAAGTGAAAACTCTAAGCGCCATCGGAATAGTATCACAATACGTGAAAAATAAAAATCAAATAATATAAGTTACTAGCTACTTCCGCGCGGTTTCACATGCTCTGCTCAGCTCCTATTAGTCGTAGCGTGATGTTTCATAGCTCGATTAATGCGATATCCGACACAAAAAGAATTATTTAAATCAGACTTGTAGTTACGGAGATTAGCGCGTTCAAACAAACAAACAAAAAAACAAACTCTTCCGCTTTATACAAAGTATAAAGAGTATAAGATTCAATATTAAGGGATGGGTAGTTTTTTATATCACGACGGTGGCAAAAAAGCAAACGGCCCACAGTGTTGTGTTGGGGTGTTATTAGGGTAACACTAATACTTTTTTCTCATAATTGTAATGATGTAACATTGAAATATACAAGTACTATAAAATGAATATAATCCAATCTATCAATAGTATTAATTCGTGCGATTGGATAACAATGTGGCATGATGAGCTGATAACATTGTTTATACCTAAACCTTATTTATAAAACTGCTAACTGCTTCATTTATCTTGTAAAATGAAAGTCTTCGTTTTCAGTTGGTATTAACTTTAACGAAGCATGTTTACCGTATATGATATTAGTAGGTAATGCATACCTGCATTCGTAGGTACCTTCTTAATAAATGTAGGTACCTACGCATTTTATTACAATGATCGAAATTCCACACAAAGAATAAATATCCGTGTAAGCACTCAAGGAAAAATGCTCGTAGATGCCCAATCTTATCTTAATTATCAAATTTACAAATATTTGTTCTGATACTTAATTATCGATGGCAACAGTTAATCGGTCCATTTCAAGATGTAATATCTCGAGGAAATAATAATACTGCGAAAAGAAGAGTAGGTGGGTACTGGGCAGGTTACGCCCACTGATACTCAACATTGCTCTTCCAGACTTCAAAGAAATAAAGAGAATAGTATTCCAGTTAGTATTTTATTCAGTCGGTTTCGTTCAGCCAACCTGTGCTTTTCATTCTTCGCACATTTTTATTCAGCTTCCAGTTGAATTCAAATTTTTTTGTGGCCACTACGTACCGCCTGCCAGTGACAGTTGCCCGTCTGCTTGCCAACTTCGTTATGTACAAAAAGTCACAGCGTTTAGCGCGTTGTCGTATTCCGTGAGTTGCAAACTAAGTAAACGTAGATTTTTCTGAAAGTCGTATTTCTTTGACAGATTTTTTTAGTCCCTCCGCTGGCCGAGATTTGTTGCCAAGTTTGACAGCAGTTTATGAAGGTGCTCTTACTTTTAGAAATGTACATAAAAATTATTTCAGGGCTGCCTAATATGTACCTAGTTTTCTCTTACCCTTACTACCTAAGCCCCAATCTTCATTACCGCCGCTGCGCTGTACCCCTTCGCAGCTCAGGCTTATTTTTAATTAAACCGTCGAAACGACCGGCTTTATATGTTGGCAACGATTGACCGTCTTCTTGGGGTTTCAATATGTTCCGTCTTTCAGCGGACAATGGGTCCGTTAAGCCGCGTACGAACCGGAGCGCCGGGAAGCCGGACTAGAACACGGTGCACGAGGCTTACATCGACAAATTTTCAAATTTACTGCCGCCGCTATTCTAGCCCGTGTAACGCTTCGCTTAATAATATCGATTTACTGGGTTTGTTTTATGTAATGTTGTGCTAAAGCTTATTAATGGTCTCTGCGGAGTGCAAGGAACTTACTTAACAATACTTACATACTTTTCCTTGCTTAAATAGTTTAATTTGATTACATAACTACATATGCACCACCTTTTTACTTAGGTAATTAGGTGAAAGGCAATATATATAAGTACCTAGATAGATATGTACCTTTTTTTTAAGGGGGGAAAATCATCGAATGACTGCTCCCGCCTGGGTGAGGCGGAAGGGAGTGTCAGACTCTTACTGACTAAAAACCACTTCGTTCCTTCTCCTGCACGTCGAGCCGGAGCCCCGGTTACCCGTTAGGTTCTCCACGACTCCGAATCGGCAACAGCCCTATTGGGCCCCATCTGTGGTGGTCTGATGGCTCTTTGAGGCGTGCGCGGAACGCGACGCGCCGTACGCTCGGGTCTGTTTCTGGTCGGACAGGGAGCCACCCATGCTCGCCGTCCGCAGGCCCGCGCTTACGGTGGCCGGAGATCTTCCCGCGATC